CGTAGAAGCAATTTTAAAGTTTACTGAGTCTGTTGATATGTGCAACTATAAGGTCAAGTTGCGCTCAAATGCTGTATCATAATGCGTTGTTTGATATCGCTCATTCCAGTTGGCCACGTAATCATGCACGATAGAACATCTCAAAACTTTGAACGATTAACTTTGGATTGCTTCAAACTGGATAACTTATGTAGGTAAACGGAGAGAGTAGAATAATTTGGACTTTGTCATACATCGCAAACAGTTGCAAGCAGTTGGTTGTGCATGATGAACTTATTTATATACATCAAGTTCATAGAGACTGTACGTCGTCCAGCACTCTCCGTTCCATTGCGTTCTTACAGATTTTGTTTGATTCTATCCACTAAATTACAGTCAACCAGTTTGCTGTTGTATTCAAGCGATTCGTTAACATTCATAAGCCGTTTTAAAAACGGTTTCAAACGGTAGGTCCGAAGGGAGCACGGTTATCACAACGACACATCGCTGAGATGACGGTTCCTGTATAATGACCGCCACAATTTTGCTTCCAATTAGCGCACTTCATGCGGAATGTTCTTTCAGGATGTTTTTTGTGGCGATAAGAGGTAAACTTTTGCATCTTTATTGATAACAGCTCACTAAACTGCATGTTTATTGATAACGACCCTTGCCTATAACAGCTACTCGTCAGTTGCAGCTATTGAGGACTATCCAAGATTAGCACGTTCAATCCAAGCACTTGAGATTTCGTTGGCAGTACAATCCATATGATGCACTCGTTCATGCGTTTTGAGTCATTGTAGCATTCACCGAACAAGCGTGATTCCAATCCTATTCATGCTGTTCCATTAGGTGACTCGTTTCTCCAATTTGGTTGTTGAATTGAATTTGGTTGTTCATTGCGGTTGAAAAGCTGCTCATTTCTGCTCCAATGGTTTCAACGCCTCATTCAGTTCATGTGTGAACCAGAATTATATTGATAATTCCTTTTCGACACAATGACAGGCACCTAGTAACCTTATTCCAGCAAAATTATGCACCGTTTTATTGCCTTTTGCCTCTATACTCTGGACTTCATCTTGAATAACATCCTTAAGAGTCTGGTCTGAATATTCTGTTGCTATTATGTCCGTTTCTATGTTGGTTAGCGTGAATTTGTTATTCTAAAATATTCTGTGTTCGATACACGCACAGCTTTTGTTTGCGATTCAGCATCATTCTCCCTCGACTTATTTGATCGAGTTGTTCACATTTGGGCATATATCTATTAAAACCGATTTTGTATCTCCGAAGAATTTGCCTATTCATCTCCAAGCCGATCGATGGGATCAACTCGAAATGATTCAACAGAAGAATTTGGCGATAATCTGTCACTACTTGGTGATAACGATCAGCAAGATAACATCGGTATATGAAACATGAACAATTTCACTCTAAGATTGCTGGCAGCTGGCGCAGTGACTGATGCCATTTTTTGTTAGCTGCTTTCCTTATCACTCCATGAAAATGAGCTAATGATATCTTATGCTGGAGCATTTTAAGAATCAAAACGGCGTGAAGTTCGTGCAGTATTTGATGTATTCGATGAACAGCGGTGTGGCTCTCTGGACGTCATTGACGTCGCACACGTGGTCAGATGCCTCGGTTTCAACCCAACACAACACGATTTAGATGCTTCTTTCAGTCAGGTTCGTCGTTCGTTTATTTCTCGGGCGAGAATTACTTTTTGAATTGTGATTAGCATTGTCTTCCTCAATTCTCGAAAGTAGAAGAATTTCAGTAATTACTCGACTCCCTTCACAATGCAAGAATTGCGGTTACGTTTATCTCACTCGGCTGACCACATAATTCAGTAACGGTTCAGCATCATAACCGACTGAACTGATTGTCCACTCACTTGATAGACGGAAAACGTTTGGAGAATATTTTCGAACGTCTTCCTACCAGGTGGCTAGAGAAACCACAGAAACTAGACCAAAATGACTGGAGGACGGTCCACAATTTTGTATTGAAGATTGCGAAGGGTGGATCCTCGAGGATTACTTTTGAACATCTCTTCGCTCGAGTTCTAGCAGCCAGCGAGAACGATGAATGGCATCGTGGTCAGATCGGTGAACTGGAACGCGCGATTAGCATCATAGCACCACAGCAACCCATCACCAAAGACTATCTGATCATGCAACTTACTAGCCGAGGTCTATTTGCTAACTGAGTCATGTAAAAATTTTCAGAAACGAGCTGGAAATATGTAGTGCAACTCAGTTTCGACTCAGTTGACCTCTACGGTCGAACACTATCACTTGGCAGAATTGCTAGCACGAATGATGTATATTTTTGCGTCCAGTAGATGTATTCAACTGGAATTATTTGCTACCTAACCAGTGCTACGTAGGAAATTTATCACATGTTGGCATAAGCAAAAATTTTTATGCAACAAAATCTTACAATAAACGAACTTTTGGGCTGTTTTAAACTGAACGAAAAAATTCCGATAGCTAGTTATTTGTAAATTGAAATTATGGGTACCATTTCAAGAATGTTGACAATAGGGAGTAAAATCTGTATGCTAAAACGATCAGCCTGTAGAATGCATACCAACTTTCAGTCAATCTCAGAGAATATTTTGCGTTCTCAGGAATAAAGCAATCTGAACTGCACTCATTTTCAGGTGAACCATTGAACGCATCTGAAGTAAATGTTTTGATCAGCCACTTGAATGTACGACGAAATGGTGAAGTAGATTGCGCAGCTTACATTAAACATATTTTCCAGTATATTCAACAATCGAATTCAATAAAGTCAACAAATTTCCATAAACCCAAGTAGAGAGAGGAAAAGCCTCCTAACCAAAAGGTTGGAAGCAATGTTGCCTCAAAATTTCGAAAGCATCTCAAAAATAAGTAATCTCAAAAGAATCATTTTTATAAATGTAGGTGACAGAATGTTGTACCAAATGATCCATCAAAAGAATTTTATATGAAGCCATTCATCGAATTGGCAAAGGGCGAAAACATTTAAAAAACGCATCCATCCAATGCCGTTTCAGAGTATCGTAGGATTCGTCTGATGTTTCTACTCGAATAATGAATTGATTGCATTTTTTGTAAAACATTTCCTTCTGTTGCCGTCGTCGAATGTTTCAGTTCCTTGTATATCTCAAGCCGTTCACCTGTAGAATCGGCATTGTAGTCGCGCCTGAAAGAAAGCTCGAACTTATATCAAGCATGCTTCATTTAATTATTGAAACTGTGAGGCAGTGACTCTTCAAAATATCCAAAATATTCCTCAACAGTGGTAGGAAGCTCGCCATTAATATAATAAACGCCCTAATAAAGAATCAGTTTTTTTTTCTTGAAATTGATCGTGCCTGTTATCAAATCCAAAGGCATTGCATAATGTGACCAATAAGTGAGTAATCCATTGGAGTCGAGCATTTTTGTGAATTGCAAGTGACAGTATGTAAAAAACAATAAAACAATACGAAAAGTGAAATCATCTTGATTACATGAACTGCTTATAATGCAGATTAGCAATGATAATCGATGCTTTAGCAGATAATTCCCGAAACTGATGACGCAACGAAAGACGTAAATAACTCAGCAATTCTTCCAGTGTTATTCGATTCCACTTCTGAATCTTATCAGATGAATATTTGTAAATTCACGACCAGTGAATACTAATGAATATGAAAACATTTCATCTACTCCATCAAAGATCTACGCAATCTGATCTTGTCTCATGATATGAGAAATGCCGGTGAATTTCTCTGAATTGAGCACCTGCGTCACGTGTTCTGAGAGTTTGCTGGCAATATAACGGATCAGCTGCCAGAAGCCATGCGGACGATACAATCGAATACAAGCGATATAGTCATTTAGTGCGGCTGATGGTGCCTCAATCAGACCAAATGTTCCTTTGAGTGCAAAATTTATCATCTGAAATTTAATGGTCAATTCCCATGAATTGTAAGGTTTTGGAGTGCAACGCTTTTACTTACACTGGATCGCGTCACTACAACGAGAACTGCTTCCATGATCTCATGCAATCGAGAATTTTTTCCATTCTATACTGGTTTCCAAAACTGACTAATATATATGTAGCAAAGAATGTTTCACTTTTTCAGTGAGGCTTTCAGTAACCTGAGATAGTTCAAAATCTTCTTACTAGCACAGCGGTTCTCACGTTCAGGTGCTCCATTACCATTTTTGACGATTTAGCAGCTCGCTGTTACCCCTGATATAAGAACTTATGTTTCTGCGTATAACGTCAGGAACAAACGGTTTTCCGTTTCTTCCTGACGTTCCTACTGTTCATGAGATTGATTATGATTGCATGAAAAGCTGTTGTCCATCACACACTCACATCAAACTGATTCAGATGGATTCTCATTCTTTTCAGACGTGTTCTATTCGCTCTCATAGCTATTACATGCGAATACCGTTCTCTTCATGACTTTTTATCATTCACTTCGTCTCATTTCATTTCACAGTTCGAATCAATTTCTCATTCAATAGCATATATTATTTAGTGACTATGTTGACGAGTGTTGACAGCCGAAATCAATTATACAGCAATCGAGTTGAANTGCTCAACAACGTTCGACAGTCAAATGATCAATTATAGAGCGTATCTGATAGAATGAGATTTTGACTATAATCGTTGGGTGAAATGAATGAGAAATTAGCAGAAGAGAACAATTTTGGTGATAAAAGTCATGAGAGCGATTACAACAGCAAGGAAAAGAATGAAAATTCCGTTTAAATAAATGAAAACCTTGTTAGGCACGGACGAGCTAATGATACTCATAGGAGAATGAACAGTGTTGCCATCAACTAACCTCATTTACATATTCGAGTTAAAAAACGCCATCACAATGGCTTCAATTATAAAATAATAACTGCACGAAATACTAGTCTCCCGATCCCCTCTATTACCCCTTAAACATCTCCAAATTACCCAAATTGGGTAATTCATCCCCTATGAGAACCACAATCCTAGCATATTGTGATTTTCTCGCTTCCTGCTGTGAAGAACTACCGAACCTGTGTTAATTATAAACAAACTGCTGACAAACCTCTTCAACTGTATCTCTTCGGTAATCGATTTTCATTCTGTACGCATCTGGATGTTCGTTAACGAACGTTCGGATTCCATCAACAGTTAAGTAAAGTAAATATCGAACTGTTTCAATCGTGCCATCCAAAGTTTCTAACGTAAAATCACTGAAATTTCAACATTTTCCTAGAAAAACATTGAGTAATTCGGCGAGATCGATGTTCAAACGCTCAGCTCCGTTTTGGACTTGATCTCTGAAAAAAANGATTTCAGTTCCCTAGAATGGAATTTCGTTTTTGACTCCAACTGTGAATAACTCACAGATTTGTCGTAGCATTTTCGAACATCTTTTGGCGATAATCATTTGAATCAAGATACGCTGGCGGTGCATTCAGTCTTGATGTGTACCACGGCTGAACATCCACAAAATCATCGCCTTTCATCCGAATTTGAAATTTAACCAAAATTGTCCGCCCAACATATTCGCTGCTATCAAATATTTTTGAGACGATCGAATGAAATTGCGTTTCGCCAAAATCCTCATATGTACTCTCAAAATCGTAGGCAGCACAAATCACTGAAAACATCAGCGTGAATTAGTTACTGCTTACATCCACAACTGACGCAGAGAGTTTCGTGTGATGGCGTGTTATCGATGGAAAAGATCAATCACATCACCGCAACAAGCAATCGAGTCACTCGCCTCGTTTGTCGTTTTCCGTTGGTTTGATGGCAACACAAATTCGGAAACTCGCTTTCGGTGCCTTCGAATAGGAATCTGTTGAGCTGACAATTATGGTACTTGAACCAGGAAAGAATAAGATCCTAAATCTACTCATCATCATGTTGGCCTAAGCCGAAATGAATGAAATGGTTAATCTCGAAATCGGTGAAAGTGAATGTTTTCCGAGGTTGTCAAAAGATCGGTGCATTTGTTCACAGCACGATGAACTTCAAGTGTCATATTGAAATAATGCAAATTACCAACGAATTGATCTATTGCCGAAATTCGTATGACAAATTGTGTGCAAATGCTGCAACGCGTCGTTCTCTTGAACCTCAACCGAATAATTGTGAATAAAGATTAGTTCAGAAAGGCCTGTTTTTGGATCCACTTTCATATCGGCATCGGCCATCAGTGGTTCAAACAAATTTCGAGACAGCCTCTGAACCGCTAGCAACCACCTTTAGAAGATAAACCTTATGAAATGATTGAAGAAAGTTTTATGAAACAACAACCACGCCAAAAACATATGAAAATTTTCTTGACCCAGCAAATCTATTTTCCACGGTGACGCCATCACCAAACTCACATCTAGGCAAAATAGTTGTACGTCATTTTACGAAATTCACTTTGCAGGATAAGAACAATTTGTTTTCTGAGAGACGCATCCTTGTAATTTGACAATTTGTGCCCGTGAATTGATGAATATTGCTTAATCGATTATAAAAATGGGCTCACTTATTTTCATCAACATTGCTTTTGACTTATGTTTTTCCGCAGTTCGATTAAGCATTGCAGAACATTGCCTAGAAGTTTGATGTTGATTTATTTGTCAGAATCTTATCAAGAAAGAGTATGTGCCATAGAATGAGAGCATTCACAAACAGTCAATAATCGACAGGAATGAAAAAACTAAGTGATAGTGTTCGAAGTGAATAAAAATTCATTAAGATGTCAGTTACAGAATGAGAGCGATGAGAGTGACGTTCAAAAAGAATGAGAATTCCAACCGGCTTTATCATAAGCCATCATTGAGAATCTGAACACAGGAATGTTTTTTGCTTTCCAAAAACTTTTGCTTTTTACCAACAAAATCATTGATCAGTAACATCGTGGATAATGGCTCATTGATCGTGAGTAATCGACGTTATTGCCTGGTTGAATGCATGTTACTGCATGTTCGATTCAAATGCAAATTCATATTGCAAACTGAAATGAAAATCATCAATGCAAATGAAGTTGCAATGTTGTTTTTAATAAAATTTCGTTGTAAATGCAAACATTCAAACGCAAATATTATTGGAAATCAGTTCATTGTTTATGGGAGAGATATAATTCATAATGGCGTGCGTCAGTTAGACCATGAATACATCCACTGCAATGATTTTATTCGCAAAACCAATCTGCACATCGCCTAAATGAAACTTATGCATCTGCTGATATAAACTTCCACCGATTTCTCAATCACAAGTTAAATTTTCGAATTTTTCTAAATCGATTCTCAATCTGTGCACATTCCCAACAACTATTTTCAATTATTTTCAAAATTCCAGTCTCGTCATCAGTGACTTTTGTCGTTCCTCTCACAAAAAGCAATAATTATCATTCCTTCACTCTAACTCTCCACTTAGTTGCTCAGCATTCATCGTCAATCTGCAAATGATCAAGACGATTGATTTTTTGCTCCCAGTCATTATCGTACACTTCAATAAGGGATGATGATTGAGCACGGAGAGATCTTGCAACTTCAAGTTCAGTCTTAACACTCGATGACCTTTACCACTTATCATTGCAACACCTATCGATGAACTCCGTTTGACGAATGATCGGTTACGGTGATGGTGTCATCTGACATTCCGGTGTCATAAACATCAAAATACGAGTGGATTGAAAGTGAAACGCAAATGATTCATTGCTGTTGACGCAACTAATTGAACTTTCGCTATCGGAGCGAAAACATGTTCCGCTCAACTACACAGCAGTTATATCATCTATAATATAAATATGCATTTGAATACTCCTTATCAACAACACTGTTTTTGGTTAAGTCGGTAACGTCAACGAGCAAGCTGTTTATTTAAAGTTATTGACATCAACTTTTTGACATAATGGTATCACATAATGGGTATGTTTTTCATCAGTGTGTAATTGCTAATAATTCTATGTTTTCA